GGGATTCCCCAGCAACGATGTGCCCTGCCTTATAGTTCAGTGATTTGGACAAGTTATCCGGTAGGCATGTACCTGTCAGAACGTAAACGGCCATGAAACCGCGCCAAACGACCGCCTCCCCTTCTCCGGCCGCCGTCTGAGGGGAGGGTGCGTATAATGCACCATTCTCATTAGGAGAAAATCTTGGAGATTGGGCCGCTGATTTTTATTACTGGTTGGTTTTGGTGAGTAGCCGAGAACCGGACCTAACACCCTCTTGGCGCTAGCCGTTATATGAAGCCATAAAAGTTTTTCCCGCTGACCAATTCCTTCTTGAGATGCGCTATGCATTCCACTTCCATTCAGAATCGTAGTGGCTTACTGAATGCGATGTGCCTACACAATGACTTGCGGCGGCCAGCCGATGTGCAAGTCAGTATTCCTATCCCTCCAGACAATTCGATTCACCGTCTCCTGAGGGTGGACGGGTTGGTTGCTCTTGGCTGGAGTTAATCCGGGATTCGACTCCAGACCGTGTGCGTGATAAACGTGCTACTTGCCGCTCCACCACTGCCCCATATATGAAATTTTCGGTGCTACTGGTTCGTCGGCTTACTTGCGATGTGGCGGGATGGTTTCTCAAGCTTTATAGCTTTGTTTTCAGGGAGAAAGGGTGGACCTAAACACCTCGAATAGCAGAAACAGCGGTGATATAGCTTTTTCCCAGCCACCGCTTAGAGGGAGGGTGCGTATAGTGCACTATTCTCTTCAAGAGAAAATCCTAGAGGGTTTGTTTTCACGCTCTTCTTCTATTCTTTTCTTACTTCGATCGACATTTCTTGAATTACTTCGGTCCTGGTGCGAATGTCGCGCACGTGATGCCGAACATCAATCCGCTTTTGTCTCGTATCCTCAACATAGAACCCGTGAATAACAACCGATACATACTCATAGTTATTAGAGCTATACACATCTTAATTACTACACCAAGTTTCTGGATGCTTGTATCACTGCTTTGGATTCTCAGTGTTTGATCGACCAATAAATAGCTATGGGTGGTGCTCCCGCAGTTAAACGGGGATGCGAGACACCGCTTCTGCGTCCCTCCCCCTGATCAAAGCACAAGCTCAAAGTACATAAGACCGGAGACGTAAAGAGACCGCCTGCTCTACTACAGTAGGCGCCGCGACTCTGGTTGTCTGCGTTCTGACCCCAAGTCTTTGTCAGGGAGAAGCACACAGGGCGTTGTAGCGTGGCCCGTCGAACTACGTTACCACCATATGGACATCGAAGCTCTGGAACTGCAACTTCAAAGGGGAAAACGGGAGGGGGGGGCGTGACTTTACCAAGATTAAGATATCAGATGCTTATTCACACTGTTGAACAACATAACTCCATCTTCTTTGGGTCCAAAGTATTGTGTAATGACGCTTCCATTGAGAAATGGCTCGAAGATTTCGCGTTCAACGTTGAATGACAATGGCTGGAACGATGCCGAAATCTTCTTGGCCACGATTCCAAGGCTCCAGACGTCGTCGAGCTGGAATTTCTTAACCGCGTTTATTCGCAAGGAGGATACGTTTGCAGTACTTCGAAAATGAGTTCCAGCAAGAGGTCACCACGCAACGTCGCGAACTTCTGGTGCGTCGCACGCGCACAAACCTGGGGACTTTGGCTGAGCGTAGGAAGCGGTAGAGACGCAGGAATGGCGAGACAGCATGTGTCTGGATGAGAGCGGAGGGGTCAAAAGGAGTTCCTCCCACTATCAGATCGATCGCCGCGTCGCGCGCCTCATGTGCGACGTCGCGCGGTGACCTCTCGGAAATGTTTCCCTTTTTAAACAAAAATACATTCGATTACCCAGAGATGTGGCACTTTGTTGGTCGCTTCGACCAATGCTGATATTGTCGACGGTGTAGCTGCATAGACAGGACTGAGGCAGTACTCTGGAAAGTGCTCGCACGGATATTCGTGCTTCTGAACGTACCTTAAAAAAGTTT